TTTGCCAGGGTAGGTTGGCCCTCCGACATCCTCACAGATGCAGGAACTAATTTTCTGGCAGGAACTATGGAAAGCCTTTGGGAAGCTCATGGGGTAAATCACTTGATTGCCACTCCTTACCACCATCAAACAAATGGCATGGTGGAGAAGTTTAATGGAACTTTGGGGGCCATGATACGTAAATTCGTAAATGAGCACTCCAGTGATTGGGACCTAGTGTTGCAGCAGTTGCTCATTGCCTACAGAGCTGTACCACATCCCAGTTTAGGGTTTTCCCCATTTGAACTTGTATATGGCTGTGAGGTTAAGGGGCCATTACAGTTGGTGAAGCAGCAATGGGAGGGATTTACACCTTCTCCAGGAACTAACATTCTGGACTTTGTAACCAACCTACAAAACACCCTCTGAACCTCTCTAGCCCTTGCTAAAGAAAACCTACAGGATGCTCAAAAAGAGCAAAAAGCCTGGTATGATAAACATGCCGGAGAGCATTCCTTCAAAGTAGGGGACCAGGTCATGGTCTTAAAGGTGCTCCAGGCCCATAAAATGGAAGCGTCGTGGGAAGGGCTATTCACGGTCCAGGAGCGCCTGGGAGCTGTTAATTTTCTCATAGCATTCCCCACCTCCAACTGAAAGCCTAAGGTATTACCATATTAATTCTCTAAAGCCCTTTTATTCTAGAGAATTAAAGGTTTGTCAGTTTACAGCCCAAGGAGGAGATGACGCTGAGTGGCCTGAAGGTGTCTACTACAAAGGGAAAAGTGCTGGTGGCGTGGAAGAGGTGGACAAATGGCCATTGTAGTTTGGGTGCCTCATGCCCCCATTCTCCTCTATGAGCTGCGCTCCCTGGCCAGATTATGTCTCTCATCATACACCACATTCTCCCCTCTTGCTGAGTTGCCACTATGTGTCGTGGGAGATGTAGTCTGGCTGGGGAACCTGTCCCATAAAGCAAAATGGGGATATAAGGCAGCCAAACTAAAACTCCCGGGAAGCACAGCAGTGGTATTTCCAAATTGAACATTTTCAGTTTTCAACTAAAAACCAAAAACTTGTTGATGTTTGGATGTCCAGTTGTTCAACAAAAAGTCAAAATTTTCCATTGCGAACAGACACGTAGTGAAAAGTTGCATTTAATTGAAACTTTTCCATCAAAATACAGTTTTGATGGAAAACTTTCCACCAGCCCTATCCATACAGAAGCTTCTGAGCTCAGCTTATTTCAGTGAATAAAGTGGGCCATGCTAACATGGGCACTTCCTGTTGAAGAATTTTCCTAGCCAGCTGTATTATTCTCTGCACCAGGGTCAAATTCAGAATATAGAGAAAAAATGGAGCTAACCAGCCATGCCCATGGTCCCTCTAGGCACCACATTTTAGGAAACATGTGGATAAGGTGGAGAGAGACAAAAATGATCAAATGCTTAGAAAAGCTGACCTCTGAGGAAAGTTTTTAAAAAGGGCATGTTTAGAAGACTGAGGGGGGAATCTGATAGCAGCCATCAAATATGTTAAGGGTAGTTTTAAAGAGGATTGTCATCAATTGTTCTCCATGTCCACTGAAGGTCGGACAAAAAACAGTGGGTTTAATCTGCAGCACGGAGGTTTACATTAGATATTAGAAAAAACTTTATTTCAATAAGGGCAGTTAAGCTTTGGAACGGGCTTCCAAGGGAGATTGTGGAATCCCTGTCACTGGGGGGTTTTAATAACAGGGCTGGTCTAGCATTACTTGGTCCTGTCTCAGTGCAGGGGGCTGGACTTGATGACATCTCGAGGTCCCTTCCAGCTCTACATTTCATTGATTCTGTGTGCCTTTTGTAGCTCACTGCCTCCCCACCCCCCTTCAGATATTTACACGGTAAGCTTGTCAGGCCAGGGGCTATGTCACAGTGTGTTTGTACACCTAGCACCATAGAGCCATGTCCTGGACTGGCTTCAGACACCACAAGGGGGAGGGGAATATTTTGTATTAGATCAACTTCTGCTGGTGAGAGAAAAAAGCTTTCGAGCCATACAGAGCTCTTCCTCAGGTCTGACTTGTGTATAAAACATGCAGCCACAGGAGCAGCCAAGAGGTCTGGTCTGAGGAAGAGCTCTGTGTAAGCTGGAGAGCTTGTCTCTCTCACCAACAGAGGTAGGTCCAATCAAAGATACTACCTCAGCCACCTTGTCTCACTAATATTCTGGGACTGACAGGCTGCAACAACACTGTATAGATAATGTTAGTAATGGGGAGGAGGAGGAGAAGGCCCTGCCCACCACAGGAGAACGCTTGCTTTTCTCCTTAGCAAATAAGGAGAAAGGAATAACCTTGCTAAGCTCTTAGATACCCAGGGGACAGGTAACTTAGAAATACTCACAGCAGGGAGCTAAGCAGGCAGAGTGGGCTGAGCTGGTGGCTGAGCTGAGCTGCCTACGTTCTGGAGAAGCCCATGACACTCTGTTAGGGTTCCCTCCCCACTCTGAACTCTAGGGTACAGATGTGAGGACCCGCATGAAAGACCCCCTAAGCTTATTTCTACCAGCTTAGGGTAAAACTTCCCCAAGGCACAAACTCTTTGCCCTTGGAGGGTACACTGCCACCACCAAGTGATTTAACAAAGCATCAGGGAAAGGACCACTTGGAGTTCCTATTCCCCCAAAATATCACCCCAAGCCCTTACACCCCCTTTCCTGAGGAGGCTTGAGAATAATATCTTAACCAATTGGTTACAAAGTGATCACAGACCCAAACCCCTGGGTCTTAGCACAATAGATAAATCAGTCAGGCTCTTAAAAGAAACAAAACTTTATTAGAAAGAAAAAAGGTAAAAGATGCACCTCTGTAAAATTAGAAGGGAAGTTAATCTCACAGGGCAATCAGATTTAAAACACAGAGGATTTCCCTCTGGGCAAAAACTTTAAAGTTACAAAAAGAAAACCAGCACAGAGAAAATCACAAGCCAAAACAAAAGTAAACTAATGCATTTCCTTGCTAGTACTTATTAATTCTAATGTAGTTGGATTGCTTGCTTTCTTGATCGCTCTCTGGCAAGCACACAGAACAGACAGACAAAAGCCTTCCCCTCCCCACCAGATTTGAAAGTATCTTGTCCCCTTATTGGTCCCTTTGGTCAGGTGCCAGCCAGGTTACCTGAGCTTCTTAACCCTTTACAGGTGAAAGGCTATTGTGCCTCTGGCCAGGAGGGATTTTATAGTACTGTATACAGGAAGGTTGTTACCCTTCCCTTTATATTTATGACACACTCCAATAAGGGTGATGTATGCTGCTGCTGCCCTTGAGCCTCTGCACAGTGGAGCCTCTGTTACAAACTGGCAATGCCTTCTCAGCAATATAATACCTGGCAACAGTTTAATAGCTACAGGGAGGCTTTCACAGTGCCCTTGCGAAGAGGAGGGGCCCATGGCTGCGGACGCCAGGGTGGAATGTCTGCTTGGTAGAGCGCATGCAGAGCAGCGACAGGCAAAGCTCTCCTCAGCTGAAAGCTGACCTGTCACTCAAGTGGCCCTGCTGCACCACGGCTGTAAGGTGGAGGCTGGGGAGGGATATGCTTATGGCAATCACACCATGAGCATGTCATGGGGTTTGTGCATTTAAACATCTCAACCTTCCCATTGCACAAGATGCTCCTCACCCAGAGTGGCCCAGTGACACTGGGGCACCGGGGGCAGTACCAACATTCACTGAGCCAAGGGGGGACTCCGTAGGGTTAGCAATCCCAAATCAGTCCATCTTTGGGAGATGCCCCCTGTCAGGGGATTAAAGCACTGTCTGTGATATTAGGTAAGGAAAGATGGCCTGTGACACTGGTCTGTTGAGTGAGTCTTCTAACGGCTTTCTGCCTTGGCAAATTGAGGGTGGTGAGAATAGCTGTTTCAGTGTGGTGAGGGTGAAGCCCACCAGATCTGTAAAGTGCTTCGGGTCCTCTCGTGGGAGATGGAGACATTCTCTCATGGCAAAGTGCTCCTTAGCCTGCGGAGCTCTTCCTGTTTCAGGTCCTGTGATAAATGAAGGTGAGGCAGTGTGGGGGGTGGGGTGGGAGGGGTAGCTTCCTTTTATGGACACCCAGCCAGCCAGTTAGCTATAAAATCCCTCTTGGTAGCTCTTCTCTACTTACTTTACCTATAAAGGATTAAAAAGTCTGGCTGCATGCATAGGTAAAAGGAAGTGAGTGGGCACCTGACCAAAAGAGCCAATGGGAAGGCTAGAACTTTTTAAAATTGAAACAAGGCTCCCTTTTGTCTGTGTGTGATTATTCTCCCAGAGAACAGGGACAGGGCTGGACTAGGCTGTAAGAGCTTGCGCCAGGTATGGAAAATCATTAAATCATACCTAGAAACTACTCATTTGAAATCCCAGATATGTAAGTAGATCAGGAAATGTCTAGGAAGACGTGATTAGGTTTCTCCCTTTTATTTCTTTACGGCTTTTGGACTTCTCTGTGCTAACCCCCAAATGCTTTTGTTTTGCTTGTAACCATTAAGCTGGACCTCAAGAAAACCATTCTTGATGCTTAATTATTATACTTGCTCTTTTAAAAATCTAGCAATAGCCTGAGTTCCAGATGTATTTTCTTTCTTTCTGTTTTTAATAAAATTTACCTTTTTTAAGAACAGGATTAGGATTTTTGTGTCCTAAGAGGTTTGTGCAGGTTGTTCAATTAGTTGGTGGCAACAGCTGATTTCCTTTGACTTCTTTCTCAGCTCTTCCCTGGAGGGGGGGGGTGAAAGGGCTTGAAGGTACCTGACAGGGAGGAATTCCCAAGTGCGCCTTCCTGGGTCTAAAGGGGTTTTCTTTTTTTTTTTGCACTTGGGTGGTGGCAGCATCTACCCATCCAGGGTCAGAGAGAAGCTGTGACCTGGGGAGTTTAATACAAGCCTGGAGTGGCCAGTATTAATTTTTAGAACCCTTGCAGGCCCCCACCTTCTGCACTCAAAGTGCCAGCGTGGGGAATCAGCCTTGACAGGTCCCTTCCATGGTGCTGTGCTCTTATCTGGGACTTTCCAGCCTACGAGGGGAGCAGCTGTCGGCATCATACATCAGTCAAAAACACCTATGGCAGAGGGAGACCCATCCAGGCACTGGGAGCTGGAGAGACAGGATGTCAAGCAGGTTGAAGCCCGGCTCAGCCATAGGCTGCAGGACTTAGAGGAAGCACGACTCTACCACATGAATTCAATGATCAAAGAGCAGAGGGAGATACAGAGACTGCAACAAGGTGAGGCTCCCTTCCCATCTCCTCCAAATAGAGCCCCCAGCCCAGCATGAATTACAAAGAAACCCTCCAAAATTAGACATGCAGTGAGGAGAGATCCTGCCCAGCAGCAAACTCAGCAATCCAAGCAGTGGGGGAAGTGCGAGTGAAGGACAGAATCTGTGAGGCAACCCGCAGAAAGGGCCAGTTAAAGAGCCACTGGATATTTGGTATTGGTGTCTGTGCTGCGTAGCTGTACCGCACTTGCCTGTCTTCTATGCTGGAACTTGCCTGTGTCAATATCAATTCCATTCCTAAGTTAGGTGTACGAGCAGCTCACACAGCCTTTCCATTTCCACATTACGGCATTTTTGCAGCACTCTAAGCTGCTGAGGGGTGTAAGCGGAAAGAGGAGGCAATGTTTCTGGAAGATGTGGCTGTCAGTTAGGTTGTCGCCAGACCAAGTGAAGCCAGGGACATGGTGGGTTGGTGGTGACAGTAAGTTTGCTAGATCTTTTATACTGTAGTTGGATTTATTTGGGAAGTTTGTTCATGACACCGTTGGTGGCATACACGGTTGGCATAAGTGTCTGGGTTTAGTTATGAATTATCACTTGATTTCAAAATTGCTTCTGTGCATGCCTCTTTGCAAACATTGACTAAGCCAGTGCCCAAAGGCACTGTCAGACTGCCCAGGCAAACGATCAGGCCCAAGACGGAGAGGCTTGATGTTGAGAATGGGGAGGGCTGGGACTGCGTGAACAGCTGGGTTTTAAGGAGGAGAGAGCACTTTGCAGGGGAGAACTAGATGGCTGTGCCAAGTGGCTGGGGGCAGCATGGGAGAAAACACACAGCTGAGGGTGGGAGACACAGGTGAAAGGCCCAGTGACAAGAGAGGATTGCACACAGCGTGTGGAGGTAGCCAAAAGGAAGGGCGAAATGGATGGTAAGATTTCCAGCCAGCCAGCCTGGCCCTCAGCAGTGCCTTGGTAGCTGTGCATTTCTAGGGGTGGCCCCAGGCTCTCCTGCACTGCTCCCCAGTGTTCTCCATGATTAGTGATCAGTGTTTGCTCATGTCCTAGGCAATTCCCGGAAGAAGGCCCATGTCACTCTAGGGGACTTCTCCCAGGAGGTTGGTAAAAAGCCAGCTCTGCCCACGCTCCCCACTTCGTCAGGGCAGCAGCACAGCAACAGCCGAGCGGAGCAACTGAGGTAAGGATGTGTGTAATGTAACCTTCCTCTGCAGCCTGGCAACCAGAGTCACTCGCCACACACAAATGTCCATTAGACCTCAGCGCCCAACCAGGCAGGGGTGACGACTGTACTGAGTGCTGCAGGCATCTCCTGCCCCTGGGCAGGGTAAGCCTCAGGGTGGATGGGGATGGGTGACAAGAGGGAGTTAGATGGTTACAAACATGCTAAGCAGCCTATGGCTGGAGATGCCCATCACAGGATGGGGTAAAGGGAGCAGAGGGTAACTCTCAGACTGGACAAGGTTATCCCAAGCTGAGTGTCTTGTCCTGTGGGAGGTTAGCCACACATGAAACCAGCTTCTGATGGCACTTACTAACAGAACTGGTCAGAACTTGGAAAAACATGTTGAAATGGTGACATTGTCCCTTTATCACAGGGTGTGAAATGGAACCATGGTTATTTTATATATTTTTTTAAATTTCATGACAGTTTTCAAAAATTTTTGAATTTTTAAAACTTCAAAATTTTGGATTTTTGACATTTCAAATTTGTGTTGCTCCCCTCTCCCTCCCCCCCCCAATTGCCATTGAATGCAATAACTGTAATAACGTGGAAAGGGCAGGGTGGAGGCATAGCCGCTTGTCACTCATTCCTGTAGCATTTTTCCTTTTACTGCTCGCTAATTTCAAAACTTCCCTGATTTTGGTAAGGGACAGAGCAGCAAAGGGCAAACTGAGCTCCTGCCAAAGCTTGAGAGTGTTTTGAAGTTACAGAGAGGAAAAAAGGAAAAGAGACAGCACAAAGTGACAAGAAACAAACCCTTGATGTTATTTAATCTGTCACACTCAGTGACAAGACAAAGGGAAATGGAGGGAAAAGGGGAGAAAGAGGAAAAACATCCACTTACCACATTTCACACACCCCAGGTTTTCCATTTTTTGTTTCTTTTCTCATATTTGCCAGTGCAAAAAGTAATGAAGTGAAAAAATGTGCTATTTTCTCACTTTCTTTTCATTTTTAACCTTTTCCTCCTTTGTTTCAGTGAAAAAATGGCAGGGAGAGAGTAAAATATACTAAGTGGGCATTTTACAATAATTTTGAAACAAAAAATGTAGCAAATACCCCAAAATGTTGGTACTTTTTAAATACATTTTTCACTTCAATATTTTTCCAAACAATGAAAAATGTCACTGTACACAAACTCGCTTTGCAAAAACATGTGTGCTTGTTGCCTATAGGTCCCCATTTTTTGAAAGAATTTTTTTTACTGGAAAAATATGGCCTGTCTGGGCTAAAGGGAGCAATGCCCAGCCCATATATATGAGCACCGGGAATCTTGGCTGGAGGAGTCCTGTTGGACTCACCTGGCAGAGCACCTATTGAAGTCCTGGAAAGGTGGTTGGGCACAAGCCTGCCCACAGCTGAAGGTCCCTCCCAAAGCCTAAGGGGAGGAGCTACTGGATCCAGCACTCAAGTGAATGCGGGAGACAACTAATGAAAAACAAGGATGGGAGTGAGGGTCACAGGATCATAAGCAGGGAGCCAGAGAGGGACAGCGAGCAGAGAACCCTGGACAGCACCCACTGCTCCTCTAAGGCATTGAGGGAGCCAGCGGATGTGGCCCAGAGGAACTCTGCCCAGAGTTGTGACCTGAGGGAGGAATAGAAATATGCCCCACAGGTGCAGAGCACCTCCTCATCCAACAACCTCCTCCTGGTGCAATGGACGGCCACTGTGGCCAGCGCCAGGAGGTAGTGGCAAAGAGGTCTAGTGACTTTGTGGGGCCACGGATGGGGTGTGCATAGTGTAGGAGGTGCGGGGAGAAGTGCAGCCAGAACCTAAGGAGAAGGTTCTAGAGGAGCGGGAAAGGGGGCTGCAGCCTGGTGCACCAGGGTCTCCCTCTCGCTGCAGAAGGGGCAGGTGTGAGGGAGAGGAGTGACCCACACCAGGTATACACCTGTGCTCATGGCTCTGTGAAGTAGCCTCACGTGGCAGAGCAGCTAAGCACGATGGGTGGGCAGAGCAGCTGGGCACTGTCATGGGCACTGGGGTCAGGATGGCAAGCAAAGGGAGGTGATTAAGGGAGAGCCGCTGGTCAGTGACTGCACAGGTTTCCCACCCCTCTCTCTTCCCTCCTTTATAGAGCACCGAGAAGTACTTTGCCCAAGATGGAGGGACCCACACGGGCAGCCCAATCACCCTTGCAGCATCAGACACGCAACGGTGACATCCTGGATGATGCAGAACAGGAGTCCTCTGGAAGGCATGGATCGACTTCAACATGCACCCAGACTAAAGCTGCAAGCTCCATCCCAGACATCAACCTGTCTGACCTCAGATATTCCGTCGCCAGGCGGCTGAACATCTCTGCCAATCTGGCAGAGCAGGAAGAAACCAGCAGCCAAGGAGAGCTGGGTACAGGCCCCACAGTGCTTCCCCATGGACAGTCAGAGGCCAGCGATGTGGATGGCAGTGACACCATGCCCAAGCCCACTAGCTGCACAGGGAGAAGGAAGCCTTCCCTTGGCCATGAGAAGCTAAGCTCTGATACAGATGCCTATGCCCCCGACAGCAGCCACCTCAGATCCATGCACAGCAGGCCTGGGTTTCTGGAGTTGTATGCTGAAGCCAGGAAGGCCCGGTTTATCCGGCACAAGGGCATTCCAGCCTCGGAGAAGGAACTCAGCCTGCAAGAGATCTTTGGGCATGAAAACAGCTTAGACCCCAGCCCCCCAGCAGAAGAACAGAAGCAGCACAACCCTAAATGATGGCTCCTTCCCCTAAGGGAGGCTTGTGAGGGTCAACCACAGGAAAAGGTGGTCTGCCCCGCTGTCTGGAACAGCCAGCTAGCCAGGGTTATAGATTCATAGATTGTAAGGCCATTAGGGCATCTAGTCTGACCTGCTGTAGAAGACGTGCCATGGAATTTCATCCAGCTACTGCCCATAGCTTCTGCTTGACCTACAGCATAGCTTTTCGAAAGAAACACCACCTCCTGATGGAAAGATTTCATCTGAGGAAGAATCCACCACAGCCCTTGAGAAGGTGTTTTACCCTCACTGTAAATAAGTTGCCACTTTCTCCCAGTCTGAGTTTATCTAGTTTGATCTTCCTGCTCTTGGCTCTCATTTTGCCTGTGTCTGCTAGAATTAAGAGCCCTCTTTTCTCAGAAATCATCTGCCCATCGAGGTACTTGTTGTCCATAATCAAGTGGTTTCTTAACCTTCTTCTCTTCGATCAGCTAAAGAGATTGAGCTGAATTTCTCTCTCACTCACAGGCAGGATTGCCAGACCTCAGATCAGTCTCATGACTCTTCTCCGAATCCTTTCAGTTTCTCAGCAGCCTTGTAGAAGTGTGGGCCCCAGAAGGGACACAGTGTCTGGTAATGGTCTCACTGATGCAGTACACACAGTGTATGGCAACCCTGCAACGGCAGAGCAGGGGAGTTCAGGCCCCCTGTAGATCTCATTCCTCTGGAATGAAGGGGAGCATCTCCTCACTGTTCCCAGTCACCCAAAACCACGCAGAATATCATCCAAGGTCTGGGGCTCTGCAAGTCCTAGGCCACATTCCATGCCCTCCTGGGTGCAGTGTGCCCCCATGTGGCGATGCCCATGCAGTGCTGCTCCTACTGGCCTGGGCCCAGGCACAGGGCTCTGCAGGGACTCTCTCTGCTGGCAGCTGCAGGCATAGGCAACAGTTGGAAGGAGCCTGTGGCCATGTTTAAAAACCTTTCTGAGGCTGGGGAGTTAAGTGACATGCTGAAGGTTACCCAGAGAATCAGACCAGCTCTCCTGAACCCCAAAGCTCTAACCACTAGGGAAGGCTTTCCCTCCACCCCTAACAATCAGTTTCTGGTGTCCAGAGGCAGGACTTGGGCATGTTCTTCTAAGGCAGCCTTGTTTGTATCTTGTGACGCTCTTTGGGGTAGGAATTGGCTGTTTGTGGCCTGTTTGTACAGTGCCTAGCAAAATGGGGTCCTTATCCATGACTAGGGTTTGTAGGTGCTATGAACATACAAATAATAAATGATGGAATAATTCCTGCCAGCTGAGAACAAGAGTAAGGGACATTCCTTTTCCAATCTGTGCCTTGAGTTTTCGCCTCCCTTGGCCCATCCAGGAGACTCAAAATATTAGGCTGGTTGTGAATTTGTCTTATAATACAACTTAAGTGCACCAAAGCAATCAGTGTTGCCCAGTTGGTCTGAGGGGGTTAACAATATCTGGGGCCTTGCAGAGTTGTTTGTGTTAGGCTGAGGACTGGCTGCTACAAGTCAGGGCTATTCCTGGTGTCAAAGAGTGGCCACACAATCCAGTGACCCTGAACACAGCAGAAACAAACAGCAGGCAGTTTCCTTGCTCACAAATCCTCACATCTGCCCCTGTACTGCCTCTCAGGGTCATGCTGACAACTCCTTCTCCAGGCTTTCTGTCCCTAGCACACACCACCTGCAACAGAGAGCCCAGCCCCTGCATCTGCACCCAGGGAAACCCTGGTTAATCTATCTCCATTACCTCTGGCCTGGCCACGTGGCTCAGTGTCTTGTGCGGGCACCCCCATTGGCTGCGTCTCATTTTACTACATAGACTGGCTTGGTTGCTCCGTTTACAGAGCATAATGATGTCTGTGATTGTCCTTGGGTCTGAGACCCACCTGATGGGATCTGCTAGCACCTTCCAGCATAACTACATCCATCTGAAAGGCCCTGGGACTGAAGCATGGAAACAAACTGCTGCCTTACTAATGGATGGCCTGAACCTGTGGTGAACTCTGTTCTCCTCGGCCTTTATAGTCTGTGAGTGTTGCTATGCTAGCTATGACAGAGTGGGAATGTTGTTAATGTCTTCTCTGAATACTGTGTGCGTGCCTCAGTTTCCTCCTATGTATTACTCAAGTATTCAGGTGGTGGGATGAGGGTGTGTGATCATTGCAGCAGCCCAAGAGGGTGTGTGACTCTCTGTAGCCTGGCAGTTGAGGGCTGGGCCCGCACCTCTGCAAGGATCAGCCGAAGGTGTTGCTGCAGACCAGGTGACCTGCTGGCCGGGAGAAAGAGACAAAGGAATGAGGAGGGGCAACAGGCCTGTCTGGGGCCAGGCAACTGGAACTGGTCAGTCTCCTGTTTGGGACTCTGGGGGTGGGGGGGGGGGAGGAGTCCAGGGCACCAGGTCCGGGATTCCCCCAAGATGGGCTTGGCTGAAAGTCACTGATTTCTGTGCTAACAAGCTCTGCTCTATGCTATGTATCTGTCAACTAATAAACCTTCCATTTTACAACACTGGCTGAGAGTCACTGCTGACTGTGGAGTTGGGGCGCAGGATCCCTCCAGCTTCCCCAGAAGCTCTGCCCAGGCAGACCCCTCTGTGGGCAGTGCACGGTGTAATCTCACACCCACCAAAAGTGATCACTTTGGCAAAGCAGCTCCATCATGCTAAGCACTTAGGCAGAATAGGCATGTCTATGCAAATACGGTCTGTTCCTGAAGCCTTTTCCCCAGTGTGTCACTAGATGTCAGGGGAGAGCTCATTCAGACCCTGCTTACACTGATTCTGTTTTTAAAGTGCCCTGGGGGGGGGGTCGGTCACATGTTCCAGGTTTTCTCCACAACTGGGAGAGTGAGAAACCTACTTTTTAAAAGCCAAGTCAAAGTTCTTATGCAATCACTGGACTCCAGGAGATGTGAACAAGGGGTGATCAGCCTGGTAGCTGGTATACAGGGGCTTATGGCATTAAGGGGTGGGGAGGGGAGGAGGGAAGGACAAGGCCACATTTCAAATCAAAATTTAGGATGTGCCAGCCTTCTGCTGCTTGGGCAATCCTCTGGGGTGGAGTGGGTGGGTCCCCGGAATCTTCTTCCCTCCTCCCCCCCCCGCCCCGTGTTCTTGGGCATCTGGGTGAGGAGGCTATTGAACTTGGGGAGGAGGGAGGGCGATTATACAGGGGCTGCAGCGGCTGTCTGTGCGCTTGCTGCCTTTCCCTCATAAGATCCACCAGATAGCAGAGCATGTCAGTTTGCTCCCCCATCAGCTTGAGCATGGCATCCTGCCTGCTCTCATCAAGCGCCTCCCTCCTCTCATCCCGGTCATTGAACGCTTTCCAGGACTAGAATCATAGAATCATAGAATATCAGGATTGGAAGGGACCTCAGGAGGTCATCTAGTCCAAACCCTGCTCAAAAGCAGGACCCATCCCCAATTAAATCATCCCAGCCAGGGCTTTGTCAAGCCTGACCTTAAAAACTTCTAAGGAAGGAGATTCCACCACCTCCCTAGGCAACGCATTCCAGTGTTTCACCACCCTCCTAGTGAAAAAGTTTTTCCTAATATCCAACCTAAACTTCCCCCACTGCAACTTGAGACCATTACTCCTTGTCCTGTCCTCTTCCACCACTGAGAATAGTCTAGAACCATCCTCTCTGGAACCACCTCTCAGGTAGTTGAAAGCAGCTATCAAATCCCCCCTCATTCTTCTCTTCTGCAGACTAAACAATCCCAGTTCCCTCAGCCTCTCCTCATAAGTCATGTGTTCCAGACCCCTAATCATTTTTGTTGCCCTTTGCTGGACTCTCTCCAATTTATCCACATCCTTCTTGTAGTGTGGGGCCCAAAACTGGACACAGTACTCCAGATGAGGCCTCACCAATGTCGAATAGAGGGGGACGATCACGTCCCTCGATTTGCTCGCTATGCCCCTACTTATACATCCCAAAATGCCATTGGCCTTCTTGGCAACAAGGCATTGACTCTGCCATTGTTTCCCTCCACGCATTCAGCTGTGCCCTATCTGTGCGGGAGGATTGCATAAGCTCTGCAAACATGTTGTCCCAGTGCATTTTTCCTGCCTTCTAATCTGGGCCAGCCTCTGCGACGGAGTTGATAGGGGGCGTGTTGAAACATTTGCACCTGCGGTAGGAGAAAAAGGGAGGGTAGAAGTTTAAAAGATACATTTTAGAGAACAAAGGGGAGACTGTTTCTCAGTGAAACAAGCAATTCATAGTACCTAGCACATGTTATTTCTGTACAAGGTCGCATTTTGCCTTTTATACTGAGTGCCTGCCAGTTTGGTGTGACTGCATCACATGTGGCTGGGCAACAGCATTCAGCTTGCAGGCAGCCATGGTAAGCCCTAGGGGCACAAGGGGTTCTGCTCCTTCCACATTCATTACAATGCTTTCGAACTGCGGCGCCCTCCTTTCCCATGCCAAGCAATGCCTGGTGGATTGGCCATTTAAAAGGAGGGCCTGCAGTCTCTCTGGGATGATCGCTTCACACACACACACACCCACACACCACCCCGCACCCTTTAGGCCAAACGCCAACAGGCCAGCATGGATGGGTTTCCACCTTGGGAGGGGGTGGAGGGTATTGGCTCCAAGGTGATGAACAGTTCCTGGCTGCCAGGGAGAACGGATTCATTGCTTGCTGCCTGTGCACTCTCCTCCTCCTCCTCTTCCTCCTCCAAAAATCCATCCTCCCTACTCCGTGAGAGTCTCCCCTTGCAGGTGTCCACGGACAGTGGTGGGGTAGTGGTGGCATGTCCCCCTCCCCCCCCAGAATTGCATGCAGCTCATCATACAGGCGCCATGTATGGGGCTGTGACCCGGAGCACGCATTTGCCTCTCTAGTCTTTTGGTAGGCTTGGCTGAGCTCTTTGATTTTCACACGGCATTGCTGTGTGTCCCTGGAGTAGCCTCTGTCCGTCATGCCCTGGGAGATTTTCGCAAATATGTTTGTGTTCCTTTTTTTGGCCTTTTTTTGCTTAACTGATCACTCTCATTACAGTGTGTATGGTAACACCCATTGTTTCATGTTCTCGGTGTATATAAAATCGTCCTACTGTATTTTCCACTGCGTGCATCTGATGAAGTGCGCTGTAGCCCATGAAAGCTTATCCTCAAATAAATTTGTTAGTCTCTAAGGTGCCACAAGTACTCCTGTTCTTTTTGCAGATACAGACTAACATGGCTGCTACTCTGAAATGAGTTATTCCTTATGATCCAAAGTGACAGTGAGGGTTCCGATGACGATATTGACTCGAGTAACACATATGACATGAGTTTGCTTGTGGCATTCACGGACATGCTCACCACCGTGGAATGCCGCTTTTGGCCTTGGGAAACAAGCACTGAGTGGTGGGATTACATCCTCATGCAAGTCTGGGATGACGAGCAGTGGCTGCAGAACTTTTGGATGAGAAAAGCCACTTTCACGGGAATGTGTGATGAGCTCACCCCCCTCCCACCCTGCGGCGCAAGAACACGAGCTGTCCTGATGGTGAAGAAGCGGGTGTATATTGCAATCTGGAAGCTGGCAACTCCAGACAGCTACCGATCGGTTGCTAATCAGTTTGGAGTGAGAAAGTCGACCGTTGGAATCGTGTTGATGCAAGTTTGCAGGGCCATTATTGCATCCTGCTCAGAAGAACCGTGACTCTGAGTAACGTGCAATGTCATTGTGGATGGCTTTGCACAAATGGCTTTCCCTAACTGCGGAGGAGTGATAAAAGGCAAGCATATTCCAATTCTGGCACCAGCCCACCTAGCCTCCGAGTACATTAATTGGAAGGGGTATTTCTCTATGGTTCTCCAGGCGCTTGTGGATCACCGTGGGTGTTTCATTGACATTAACGCAGCCTGGTCTGGAAAAGTGCATGATGCATGCATCTTTCGGAACACTGGCCTGTTCAGGAAGCTGCAAGCTGGGACTTTTTCCCCAGACCAGAAGATCACTGTAGGGGAAGTTGAAATGCCAATTGTGATCCTTGGAGACCCAGCTTACCCTTTAATGCCGTGGCTCATGAAACCCTCCTCACGGAGCCTTGACAGCAGCAAGGAGCAGTTCAACAACAGGCTGAGCCAGTGCAGAATGACTGTGGAGTGTGCTTTTGGCTATTTAAAGGGCTGCTGGCGCTCTCTGTATGGGAAGCTGGACCTGGCCGATGACAGCATCCCTGCAGTTACATCTGTGTGCCGTACCCTCCATAACATTTGTGAAGGAAAAGGTGAATAATTCACTCAGGCATGGAACTCGGAGGTTTGGGGGGGGAGGGATAGCTCAGTGGTTTGAGCATTGGCCTGCTAAACCCAGGGTTGTAAGTTCAATCCTTGAGGGGGCCATTTAGGGATCTGGGGAAAAAAATGGGGATTGATCCTGCTTTGAGCAGGGGGTTGGACTAGATGACCTCCTGAGGTCCCTTCCAACTCTGATATTCTATGATTCTATGAACTCCTGGAGGCTGAGTTTGAACAGCCAGAGAGCAGGGCTATTAGAGGGGCCCAGTACAGGGCTGCAAGTATTAGGGATGCCTTGAGGGAGCAATTTGAGGCTGAAAGCCACCAGTAATGTCTGGTGCCCTGCACAGGAGTGAAGTGCAGTGGTTCCAATGTTTGTAGGAATCTGTGTTTGCTACTCTGATTTGCAGTGCCTGTTTCTTTCCTGGGCTAAGGTATCTGTTACTTTATGCAATAATAAAGAATGTTTTCAAAGCCAAAAAAATCCATTTATTGAAAAGAAACACAACTGCTTGGGAACCAGAAAGGGCAAGGGGGTGGGGTGGGGAACGGTACAATCACAGGTTTGCGGATGTCCTGTTATCATACTCAGCCTTCCTGTCTGGAGTGCTGTGCTGCACTTGAGGATGGCTACACTGCATGGTGATGGGGGTTGAGTGCAGTGGGTAAGGGTCGTAGTGTTCAGGGCTGGGTGGTGAAGCTACAGGTGTTGGAGGCAGCTGGTGGCAGTAAGAACCCGGATGTTGGGGGAAGTGGGTTGGAGGTGACATGGGGGCACAAGGGAAAGAGTTTTGGGACAAGGGCTGCAGCGGGGGGGAGGAGGGGGAGCAGGGGCGGTAGTGCTCCACCTGCATGGCTACAAACGCCTGGATAGAGTCCGCTTGGCGCTCCATTATGTTTATCAGCCGATCCGTGCTTTGCTGCCAGAGCACTGCGCTTTTGTGCTGGCGCTCCTCATTCTGCTGGCGGAGCCTCCTTTCACTGTCCCGCCACTCCTGCACTTTTCAATTTTCATGACTTGAATGCTGCATTACTTCATGCAACATGCCTTCTTTGTTTCTACGTGGTCTCTTTCTGATTCTTTGGAATCTTTCGGCTGGTGATAACACGGCCGGCTGAGATCTCAAGGTTGCATCTATAAAGGCAAAATGCAACACTTAGCAGAGGCAGCATTGTTCACAGCAGACAGAGCGATGATTCCTCTGTACTTAAGGGCAAGCACAGGCTACACAATAGCATAATTTGCCCATTCCAAAGCGAGCGCATATAACCCATGGAAGCCCCAAAATGGTGAGTAAGCACAGGGTCAAACGTGACTGATTGTTTCACGGCTGTATTGTCCTCTGGGTTTCTGTGCCTTGGGGAGAGCCAACAGTGGCAGGGGGCCCCTATACTGAAACACTGTCCCCACAGGAGTTCGTCCTGGAAGATATCTCGTTGCTGAGGGTGACCTGGGAAGCAAGGGAGGGTCTTCTACTGCAATGCGGCTTCTGCCCTGGCCCATATGCAGCTTGCCTGTGTGCAGCAATGGTCCCCCCGCCCCTCATGGCATAGTGGCACGGACAAGTGAGCCTTACTGGGACAAGGACCACAGTGGCTCTCCCGAGAAACCTGCGCAAGCGCATTGCCCAACTTCTGGATGAGACCTTTGACGAGATCACTGAGGCCGATTACTGCGGTGTGAGAGAGCACATCAACGCCCTATTCCGCATCTAGGCATGCACGCAGCCCTAACCCTCCTCGCCCCAAGAGCCTGCACTGAATAACTTCCTTCCCAAAATAAAAGCCGCTTACTGGAAATCTCCTCTGGTGTTTGTCCTTCCCCAAGCACCGGCCGCCACTGGCTACCTTCCTCCTGGCTTGAGAACAGCTCCTGGCTGCATGCATCTAGGGATTCTGGAGTGTCTTCCTCTGCCTCAGCACCCTCACTCCCGCTTTGCTCCTCCTCCTCCCACCTTGTTGAACTGGGCTCTGAAGTGTCCATGGTGGTACTTGGAGTGGAGGTGGGGTCGCCCGCAAGTATCGTGTCCAGCTCTTTGTAGAAACGGCAGGTTGCAGGGGCAGCACCGGAGCAACTGTTTGCCTTGTGGGCTTTGTGGTAGGCATTCCGCAGCTTCTTCACTTTAACCCTGCACTGCAGTGCACCCCGGTCATGGCCTCTTTCCATCATGTCCCTTGATATCTGCCCGAAGGTATCGTAATTCCTACGGCTGGAGCGCAGCTGGGACTGGACAGCTTCCTGCACCCAAACACTGATGAGGTCCAGCACCTCGCCATTACTCCATACCGGGGATCGCCTGGCACATGGAAGCATGGTCACCTGGAAAGATTCGCTTAGTGAACTGGCTGAGCAAACAGGAAGGGGATTTTCAAAATTCCCAGCGAATTTAAAGTGCGTGTCTGATGGTTGGTCACCTGAGGGCAAGGCAGTAGATTTCAAAGTGATGACCAGAGTGGCTAGAACAGGCATTGTGGGACACCTTTGGAGGCCTATCACAGTGCACTAACAGACCAGGGTGTCCACACTGGCTCCACGGTGCTCCAGCAGGGGTGCACCAAATGCTATTCCACTCGCCGAGATTGAGTACCAGGAGCACTCTAGCCGTGGAGTCAGAGCGCTGTACGTGCCTTGCCAGTGTGGACGGGGAGCGAGCTAGTCCACCTGGGGCTCCTTTAATGTGCTCTAACTCGCAAGTGTAGCCATGCCCAAAGTCCCTCCAGAGGAATGAAACAGGATTGAAGACCAGATGGAGGAGCCGCAGCAGCTTTTTATATTCTCTTGCCATGTGGTCTTTCTTTGTCCCAAAGACAAGCTGTCCATCACATGGCATGGAAAAAAACCACACCCTCCAGAGCCCCCCAACACCACAACCCGCCCCATTCTGTCCATAGGCAGGTCCCTGAGGGCCTAAACACAGCCACACTATCAGAGCCTTGTTACTGAAGCCACCAAGGTGTGCCATTCACAAATCCCCTCTCCATTAATTAAAAAATCTAAATAAAAGAATAAATGGACACAAATCAATGTCAAGAATTATAACATTCATAAACCAGTGGAGAACACTTCAATCTCTCTCACCAATCACAGACATGAAGGCGCTAAAAAAAAAAAATTCAAACCAACTAGCGAGAAATGCTGAATTGGAATTCATTTGCAAATTGGATACTATTAATTTAGGCTTAAATAGAGACTGGGAGTGGCTAAGTCATTATGCAAGGTAGCCCGTGTTCCTCTTGTTTTTTCCTACCCCCCCCCCCAGATGTTCTGGGTCAACTTGGATTTAAACCTGGAGAGTGGTCAGTTTAGATGAGCCATTACCAGCAGGAGAGTGAGTTTGTGTGTGTATGGGGGTGGGGGGATGTAGAAACCTTGATCTATGCAGGAAATAGCCCGACTTGATTATGTAAAGAGTTGTCACTTTGGATGGGCTAGCACCAGCAGGAGAGTGAATTTGTGTGGGGGGGTGGAGGGTGAGAAAACCTGGATTTGTGCTGGAAATGGCCCACCTGTTGATCACTTTAGATAAGCTATTACCAGCAGGACAGTGGGGTGGGAGGAGGTATTGTTTCATGATTTCTGTGTGTATATAAAGTCTGCTGCAGTTTCCACGGTAAACATCTGATGAAGTGAGCTGTAGCTCACGAAAGCTCATGCTCAAATAAATTGGTTAGTCTCTAAGGTGCCACAAGTACTCCTTTTCTTTTTGCAACTTGTCTGGGGTGTCACCCAGAAGCATAACATAAGAAACATAGACAGTATAGAGCCAATATTCATAACTTCAACTCCAAAAATGATACACATAGCATAACCATAACCAGCAAACCATAACCTTATCTTAGACACCTTATTTGACCCCCTTTATATAAGATTTGGTGCCACTACAGGACCTTGGTTGCAACAATGATCTATACGGTTCCAGTTCATGTCAATAACATCACAGGGGGGAAGGGAGGTCAGTAAGCTGGGAAGCAGGTGCAGGTGGAAGGTGGGTCAGGGAGACTGGGAAACAGGTGTATGGCAAAGGGGGGTCATAATGCTGGGAATCAGGTGCAGGGGGAAGTGATACAGGAGACTGGGAAGAAGGTGTAGGGGGAAGTAGGGTCAGGAAATGATGCTCCCCAGCCCAGCACGGACAAATCCGTTACCAGGGTCAGAGTGGGCTGGGGAGGGTGGAACGGAACCCCAGCGCCTACCATGTCAGGGTCCAGCCACCAACATAGGGAATTGAGGGTATGCCCCGGAACGGTGAGCACCATGTCTAAACTGTCATGGCCTGGGCGGTACGCAGACACAAGCCACGCCTGCAGGGGCCTGAGCCGCAACCTGGCATGCTGCACGATGTCAGTGCAGGATGCCATGTGGCCCAGCAACTTGAGACACTGCCTCACCGTGGTGGTGGGAAAGCTGCAAAGACCGGTGATTTCAGGTATGTTGCAAAAGGTATGTTCCAAAAGGTATGTTGCAAAGGGTTTCTTCAGGTATGTTGGCAACAAGAAGAAAGTCAAGGAAAGTGTGGGCCCCATACTGAATGAGGGAGGCAACCTAGTGACATAGGATGTGGAAAAAGCTAATGTACTCAATGCTTTTTTTGCCTCTGTCTTCATGAACAAGGTCAGCTCCCAGACTATTGCACTGGGCAGCACAGCATGGGGAGGAGGTGGCCAGCCCTCTGTGAAGAAAGAAGTGGTTCGGGACTATTTAGAAAAGCTGGACGTGCACAAGTCTATGGGGCCGGATGCGTTGCATCCGAGAGTGCTAAAGGAATTGGTGGATGTGATTGCAGAGCCATTGGCCATTATCTTTGAAAACTCATGGCTATCAGGGGAAGTCCCAGAAGACTGGAAAAAGGCTAATGTAGTGCCAATCTTTAAAAAAGGGAAGAAGGAGGATCCTGGGAACTACAGGCCAGTCAGCCTCACCTCAGTCCCTGGAAAAATCATGGAGCAGGTCCTCAAGGAATCAATTCTGAAGCACTTAGAGGAGAGGAAAGTGATCAGGAACAGTCAGCATGGATTCACTGAGGGAAAGTCATGCCTGACTAATCTAATTGCTTTCTATGATGAGATAACTGGTTCTGTGGATGAAGGGAAAGCAGTGGACATGTTATTCCTTGACTTTAGCAAAGCTTTTGACATGGTCTCCCACAGTATTCTTGCCAGCAAGTTAAAGAAGTATGGGCTGGATGGATGCACTACAAGGTGGGTAGAAAGGTGGCTAGATTGTCGGGCTCAACAGGTAGTGATCAATGGCTCCATGTCTAGTTGGCAGCCGGTATCTAGCGGAGTGCCCCAAGGGTCGGTCCTGGGGCCAGTTTTGTTCAATATCTTCATTAATGATGTGGAGGATGGTGTGGATTGCACTCTCAGCAAGTTTGCAGATGACACTAAACTGGGAGGAGTGGTACATACGCTGGAGGGTAGGGATAGGATACAGAGGGACCTAGACAAATTGGAGGATTGGGCCAAAAGAAATCTGATGAGGTTCAACAAGGATAAGTGCAGAGTCCTGCACTTAGGACGGAAGAATCCAATGCACCGCTACAGACTAGGGACCGAATGGCTCGGCAGCAGTTCTGCAGAGAAGGACCTAGGGGTGACATTGGACGAGAAGCTGGATATGAGTCAACAGTGTGCCCTTGTTGCCAAGAAGGCCAATGGCATTTTGGTGTGTATAAGTAGGGGCATTGCCAGCAGATCGAGGGATGTGATCGTTCCAAAATTGAAGAGAGTCCAGCGAAGGGCAACAAAAATGATTAGGGGTTTGGAACACATGACTTATGAGGAGAGGCTGAGGGAACTGGGATTGTTTAGTCTACGGAAGAGAAGAATGAAGGGGGATTTGATAGCTGCTTTTAACTACCTGAAGGGTGGATCCAAAGAGGATGGATCTAGACTATTCTCAGTGATAGCAGATGACAGGACAAGGAGTAATGGTCTCAAGTTGCAGTGGGGGAGATTTAGGTTGGATATTAGGAAAATCTTTTTCACTAGGAGGGTGGTGAAACACTGGAATGAGTTACCTAGGGAGGTGGTGGAATCCCCTTCCTTAGAAGTTTTTAAGGTCAGGATGATTTAGTTGGGGATTGGTCCTGCTCTGGGCAGAGGGTTGGACTAGATGACCTCCAGAGGTCCCTTCCAACTCTGATATTCTATGATTCTATGATTATTCGTGCAAAGGCTAGACGTTGGGCCTCTGGGAGGAATGCTCTTGCTTGGTTCACATCCAGGACCGCCCGAATAAACTCTATTGTTCGGGTTGGAGTGAGAACAGATTTGTTGACATTGAGAATGATGCCCAAGTGGTCGAACATGTCTCTGACCATCTGCACCTGTGATTCTATCTGCTGGTGAGACCGGCCTTGTAATTCCAGGCCTTAGAGAGAAGTCGTCCAGGTATGAGTAGACATGCACGTGATGATGGTGAAGAAAAGCTGCCATGACCACCATGCATTTGGTGAAGATGTGAGGAGTCGTGCACAGGCCAAATGGGAGGGATATGAACTGATAATGCAGCTTGTTCACCAGGAAGCAGAGAAACCATCTGTAAGATGGGGTGATTGAAATGTGAAAATAAGCATCATTCATAGATTGTGCTCAAGGAGACCATGCGGAACTTCAAGCTGATGATGTACTTGTTGAGTTCCCTAAGGTCCAGAATGGGCCGTAGGTCCCCTTTTGCCTTGGGGAAGAGGAAGTAGCGTGAGTAGAAACCCTTGCCTCTGAGCTCCTGAGGCACCTCCTCCACAGCTCCTAGAGTGAGGAGGGACTGGACCTCCTGGATAAGGAGTTGCTCGTGAAAGGGGTCCCTGAAGAGGGATGGGCAAGGGAGGTGGGAGGATGGGAAAGAGCAGAAGTGGATAGAATAGCCTGCCTCTACTGTGCAGAGGACACACTCGTCCAATGTAATAAGGGACCATGCACAGTAGAAGCAGGATAGACAGTTCAGAAAGGGATGATAGCTGGCTGGGTTCCCAGACACCGAAGACAGGAGTCATGGGGGTCGCCCGTGGGCATAGGCTTGCCGCAGAAGCTACAAGGGCACTTGTTGAGGGAAAAGTCCCCCCAACTGCTAAAGACTATACTTAACAACTAAAGATAACAATTAACTAACAATGGGTAACTATATACAAAGATAAGTAGGATAGCTTGGGAGTAGTGGAGTTCTTGAGAACAAGAGACCACTGTTCCAACAATCGTCACTGGTGGTAAGAAGGAACGGAAGGGGGGTTGGGCCAGCATGGTCATATATAGAGCGCCATATCGGCGCCACTCCAGGGGCCTCCACAGCCAACCCGACGGGTAGCTGCTAGGGAAAAGTTTCCGACATCCATGCACGCGGCGCACACACACACACACCTAACTGGAAGTGATATGAGCAAGCACTCAAAGAAGTCCTATAGGACTTTCTTGTTATCACTTCTAGCCTGTACCAAAATTTCTTCCAAAAATCATGCAGGTTACATATTTTTAAAGCATTTGCCATTAGTACCAATTCTTTTCTTTTTAACCCATAGAGTGCATAGTAAGAGACATAAAATTACCAGCAAATTCATCATAGGGAGGTCCTTCCAAGTATGACTATCATACCACACCCTCTGTTAAACAGGCCAGTTTGTTCAGCCTTTATTGTATTCCTCATCCCCTCTGTAAAGGTTTCTACTTTAGTTATGTTGGTGACACTGGGCACTACTCTAGGTAAGTCGGGAGGGTGGAAGACTACGAGTGTCGATGAAGCCCTCCTGCTCTAGGCCCAGGCAAACTGAAGCCCCTCCACTCCTTGAACTTTCTGTGACCCTGCATAACTATGAGGAAGCTAACACACAAACAGAT